ACCGCCTTCCCCGGCGCACCCACCCTTTCCCCCAACTCGGCCCACGGGCGGGCCAGGCCTCCTGGTGGCCATAGCCCGGCTCTATGCCCCGACTGCCGTCACTATATGATCCCACATGTCACCATTGGGCTCGCCGCAACGGTCGGCCGAGGTGTCCACCCAGACCAGTTGGCCGCCCAGACCAGTTGGCCAGACCAGTTGGCCGGGTGGGCCAAAACGCCTAAGTACGCTATCTGCCCGGGTTGGGGGCAAATTCGGGTGGCCCACTTTGTATGGGAAAAGTGACCGACGCACGGGCCACCCCATACTAAAACCGTCCCCCCCCAGCAACTTTCGGACACCTCAACGTTTGTGCGCACGATGTGTGCCCAAGTGAGGCCGGTGGTACTACGTGGAAAGGAGGTCAACTTGACAGCCGGAAGCACCCCTCCCGGGGCACGTTTCGCGGTGTTCCTGATGGCCTCCCGTCCACATCTTCCCTGCTAGACAGGCTGCCTCTCCATGGCTCACAGCGCCTGGGTCCTTCGGGCCTCGCTCGAGTCGTGGGAGCAGTCTACCGCTGGCGTCCTCTTCATTGCGGACAACGGCGACCGAAGCCCGGGTGCCCCGCACCCGGCGCCGATGGGGTCTGTGGATCGGTGGCCGTTGGCCAGTCCTGATACCTAAGATTCCGGAGGGGAGCCGCCCCGCGGTAGCCGCCGTTCGTCGGCGTGTCCGTGGGGCCGGACCCCTCACTCGAGGACCGTATGCCGCAGCCTGGCAGCGCCCGCAAGGGCGACCTGCCGGGGTTCTGCGCGCGGACCGGCTCCTGGAGGGCTACACAGTGTGGGCAATTGGATGGTCGCATGTGTGCCGCCGGTACGCCGGGGGCGTCGCTGTGACCGGGCGCCTTGTGCGCCCCTTCCAGAGTTTAATACCTACAAACATACCGCCCTTTCGGGGCTTTGTGGGCTCTACTTCGGCGGGTAACACCCCGGGGCAGGGTCCTCTATGTACCAAGGTATCTGGTTGATTCTGCCAGTAGTCATATGCTTGTCTCAAAGATTAAGCCATGCATGTCTAAGTATAAGCACTTTATACTGTGAAACTGCGAATGGCTCATTAAATCAGTTATCGTTTATTTGATAGTACCTTACTACATGGATACCTGTGGTAAT